AGAAACAAAATTCATTTTATATTGAACCCAATGTTTCTCTGGCAGTAGTTGACTGTACTATTCCTATTGTGAATTGCAGCAATCTTGAATTTTCTCAAATATGCAAGATGCACACTTGCTACACACCAGATTTATAAAGAGTAAGGTTAATAAGGATGTCAACATGTTTAAACATCAAACGGCTTTATTTGAACTGTTCTATTAATTGACACCTATGTGCATTTGAATGATATATTCCTATGACAACTGGCAGCTATCTTGGGTTTTCTCCGAATAATACTCAAGGATATATACACTTTCAAAACACACATAGTCTTTCATAGGATATGAAAAACATTTAAAAACGACCCAAAGTTAACTACATTTAAATCGTACTCGGTGTATCTCTAGCATTATTTGATTATGTGTTCGAATATTCTAGCTAATGACAAAAGGCAGACATCTTGAATTTTTTCAGAATACCCAAAGATACACACATGCTACAGACCAGGTATACATCATAGGGGTAATAATAAATGGAATGAAAACCATAAATTATTTTTAAAACAAACCCATGGAAATGTAATTGTATAATGAACCATATGCCTCTCTAGCAGCAATTGAAACCCACCCATTAGTATTCCTATGTTAAATTGTAGGTATCTTTTTCTCAGATCCAAGGATACACAGTATTTACCCACCAGATATATATCATAGGACTAATAAGGATGGGCAAAACTTGATAAGCAAAAACAAATTCACCCTGGTAGTAGATGAAAAGCCATGGATGTGCAGTTGTAATTCCAGTAGTATTCCTATGGCCAGTGACGGCCATCTTGGGTTTTCTCAAAATGATCAAATATGCACATTTATTACCTGCTAGATATGTATCACAGTGTAATAATAATGTGTAAAACACTAAAAAAATAAACTGAATTTGATAGTGAATTAGCTGGCATTAGTTCCAACCCTTTGTAATACTAGAAGTATTCCTATTACATATGACGGCCATCTTGGATTTTCTCAAAATGCCCAAGAATACTGTTAGTTACTAACCACATACATATTGTTTGGGTAGAAAGGATGTGGAAAACACTCAGAAACCAGCTTAATTTGATAGTGAAAAACTAATCTTTCCAGTTGCCATTAGTTGAATTCCCCGTATACTAGAATTCCTGTGGCACATGGCAGCCATCTTGGATTTTCCAAAATGCCCAAGAACACTTCGTAGTTACTCACCACAAACATATTATGTGGGTAACAAAGATCTGAGAAACAGACTTAATTTGATAGTGGACAACGTATCGTTCTAGCTGGTAATAGTTGTGCACTAGTATTCCTATGGCTGTTTCTATGGCAAATGACAGCCATCTTGGATTTTTTCAAAAAGTCCAAGGGAACTTGTTTGCTATCTGACATATATGAATAAAATGGGTAATAAGGGTGTGGAAAACTCTGAGAAAATAATTTATTTGATAAAAATCAACATAGGTATGTACATATTTCTAAAGAATTCAATAAATTGGTGGCCATTTTGGATTTTTTGGCCAAACGGTAAATTTTTTCCGTGGGCTACGGCTCTAATTTGATTTAGAATGTCAAAAGGTACCCACATGCAAAATTTGGTGCTTTTATCCGCCGTGTCACGATTTTTTCCTTAAGCCACCGGACTATGTGTAATGCCTTAATTTGCACGGGTATGACGTGTTTACCTCCCAAAGAAAGCACTTAACGATACAAAAAATGGAACACATTACCCTGGACTTTCCTGCATTCTGATTATCTAAAATATATCTTCCTAGTAGCTTGGACTATTTTTAAACGATGGAATAATACGCTTCAATTCCCAAAATGTTTCGATTCTGTTGACGTAAGCGACCTACGCACATAAGCAGTAACAGTGCACAGTAGATAATTACCCCCCCAAAATAGGCTTAAGCTTACAGTGGGTAAAATGTGATGGGCAGATCTAGAGAGAAGAGGGGGGCAGATTTTATTGAATTTAGGTCTCCAGAAAGTTGTATTCCCCTTTAATTCTGAAACTTGTATATGGCACTTGTTAAAAAGTCACTCACTGATCGTTTGGTTTTAATTTTAGGTCTTTTGAATGTCTCCTGTTCCCTTAATGATTATTTGACATTTTGTTCTGGTTGTAAAAGATAATGCAGTCTAAAATCCGGTTCATTTGATGTACTAATCAGGGGCGGATCCAGAGCTATTTACTGACAGTCTTCCAAATTATCTCTGCTGATTCATCCTCCAATTTTGACCGTCTTCCAACAGAAAAAAATTAGATACCCGTCAATGTAAACTTGAAAATCTGACCGCCTTCCGGAAGACCCCGAAGACGGCCTAAATCCGCCCCTGCTAATAAACAATTTTTTTGCATGCATTGAGCCATCTTTCACTCAGTAGTTCAAGTTTACTATGTTCACAGCATTCAAGATCAGGATATATTATCTTAAGAGCTCTTTCTTGAGAGTTTTCTACTAGGGCAGTCAATTCATTCCTTAATCCAAAGTGCCAGACAGGGGCAGCATATTCTAAAACTGGCCTTATGACCATCTGGTAATAATTAAGTTACAAGGTCATCAGTTGTAAGGCCTGCACGTTTCAGGTGCTATAGGAAATAAATCCTTTTGCTTGCTTTTTTGGTGATTTAATCTACGTACCTTTCACGTGAGGTCATTAGAGATATTAGAGATATATAGTTATTTTAATGATTCTTCAAATTCAACATGTTTTTTCAATCACAAGCTTAGGGATATCTGCATTCTTGCGTTTAAATGATATGGCCATTTGTTTGTTTTTTTTCCTGTTTAATCGCATATTAATTGTTTGTCGATCCTAGCCCAGTCCCACGTTGTAATTAGCAATTTCCCGTAATTTACTTTCATCGAATTGTCTAAGGCTCTCAGAAACTGTTGTGTCATTCATATATACTAGCTTATGGCACAAAGATTCAGCAGGAGGTAGATGTAAAATATTTATCATCAGATCATAAACACTGACAAAAATCATAAGAACCTTTACAAAGAGATATGCAATCATAATCAATATCAAATTTTATCTATAATAAAGTTTATCAGAAGAATATGCATAATCATCCTCATTGGGAGATAGGGCAACTATCCCTCTGATCCAAAGTCGTGAATGAATTGTTGCATTTTGTCCAGATCAGCTTTATGAACAGTGGGCTTCGTCACTGCAAGGGACATCAGCATATCATTCTGGAAAACAGAAGCAGTAATGGCAGGAATTGGAAAACAGGACAAAAAATCATATACCCACCACAGCTACATTAAGTATATATATGTTTCTATCTCCAGAATGTTGATCTTATTGATTTCTAGCTAAAGGCTTTTTAACATATACCGGTACCTGACATTAAACTGAGAGTTTGCTTTATCCTGTCTTATGCTGTACATAAAAAAGGGAGTTTACAAAAGACAGACCCAATACTTACCACAGATGCAGTGTGATAGTTTCATGCTATTTTTGTACATTGTTTAACTTAACAATCATTATATCTATAGATATGACAATTAAGGCCTGACACAAACTTCTACTCCAAACTTACCATAGAAACAACAGGTTCAAATAATTTATCTCCAGGCACATCCATCCAGTTCATTTCCACAGCTTGGGGGTCACCCGGGGAGCAAGGGGTCAAGAGGTCATTGACTATGACACCTGAGTTATCCCGTGATGGGCCTCTTACCTGAAGATATGAAATAACTGCATTGTTTGATAGCCAACTGAACTGTAAGCATCTCTTTAAAAGACATTTCATTTGAGACTCTTGTGGCAGACTTATTATTATTATGATTATTATTATAATTATTGTTGATTTTCCTTTGTTTCTTGCAACAAATGTACTTGGGTTAATAATTCATAAGGTATCTTTCAATCACATTAAGATTAGCTTTCAGTCTACTTCTAATTTTTATGATAAACAAGGGGAAAAGAAACCTGCAAGGTCTGTGTCTTGTTATGACTACACTAATGGAAACAGTTTAGAGTACAATGTGTTAATTTTCACTTTAAGTTTCATTTTTAACTAGAAAAGCACTCGGAGAGCTCAGACCTCCGCCAAGGCAGCAATTTTTTTATTATTATTGATTATTGATTGATTGATCCAGATCACCAACCAAAACTAATCATCTGTTCCTTGGCCCACTTCTGACAGTTCCTGAAAATTTCATCAAAATCGGTCCATAACTTTTTGAGTTATGTTGATGACAGACAAACAAACAAACAAACAGGGGTGAAAACATAACCTCCTTGGCAGAGGTAACTATGCTCTGGTTTCTACAATAAACAGGGATCAAAACAAAAACCTGGAAGATTTTACTTTGAATCATTCTCACCCGTTTGAAATGTGTAGCAGTCTGTAATTTCCTTAATGGCTGCATTAGAGTGTTTTTTACTACTATACTGATATCTGCTCCAGAGTAGCTAAAATCAAACAAGCAAACATAGATAAAGCGGAGCAAAGATAAGCCAGTCTGCAACATTGATACTGACTCCATGCCAAATGTTTGTAAAGAAAGAATTAAGGAAAAGTGTCAGGTCAGAAAAACTTTGTCATTTTCCTCAGTTAATACTGGTCATCTAGGGTGGTTTCTTCTTTGAGTTTGAAATTTTTAGACCCTAATGTTTCAAAACTGAAGTGGGCTAAAACAATTTAGGCACAGATAACTTGAAAAGACATTCAGGTACTAGAACTTAACATATATATATATATATAGATAGACTTTTATAGTGCTCAAATTTCATCAGTTTTGCATGATTTATCATTTAATAAATTTAAGATTGTTTGAATGGCTTCACAAAAGTTCACACTGACATTGACAGCTTACCCCTCAGTTCTCAGTCCTAATTCTCTGAAGTTTTCTTGGGTGAGAGAGTTTGGGGTGTTCCCAAGATGCAACTGAAACATGGTGGCTCGAGCAGGGGCTTCTGGGAGTGGGATGTAGATTTTTTTCTCAAAGCTAGCAAAAAGCAGGTCATAATGCAGTTATTCACTTAACTTGCAGTAATGTTGTTTGGTAAACAAGTGTGTGTGCATGTGTGCACATGTGCACGTGTGTATGCAAACATTCCATGTGTGTGTGCATGCATGTGTGTGTATGCATGCAAGCCTTCCATATATATGTGTGTGTGTGTGTGCATGTGTGTGTGTGTGTGTGTGTGTGTGTGTGTGTGTGTGTAAATGCCTACCTTCGCATTATAGCAGAGTCAAGCACCCAAGGCATATTTGTGGCTACTAACACAAAAATTCCTTTGTTATCATTTCCAACACCTGAAATGTTAAGGTCAATTTTCATATTAACATTCTCAATTACTGATAGAAACAGACTGATATAGTAGACTGTGTGCATTCCTTCAGAGAAAAATTTGAATTACTGAAGAAGAAAGAAATTTAAGTGAGTTACATGTACTTGCAACACTTATGCACAACTAAGCCTACGTATATATACTATAAAAATGAAAGACTACTAGATGTTTGATTCTGATGCAATAAAATCTTCAAATATAGTTTTCTTAAAATATAATTGTGATGAAATTTAACAAAACCTTTAAATGGTCTTTTAGAGTATTCTTGGGCAAACAAAAGAATCTGTAACAAATCTACCACCCTAGCTTACTCTAGCTCTCTCTCTCAGTATACCATCAATTAACCTGTATTTGTAACAAGCACACTGTTTCTTGGGAGATTCTACCTCCTTATCACTTACCCTGCATTTGTACAAGAAACTCTGTCTTAATTCTCCTGGCTGACTCAGACTCGTTATCACTCCTGGCCGAGCAGAGGGAGTCTACATCATCTATGAAAATAATGCTCGGCTTGTGTTCTCTGGCCATCTCAAATAGATTCTTTACTAATCTGAAAGAGATTTCACCAATACATTTGAAATACACAATGAACCATGAAGGAGTGCGCTTTCAAGGAAATGATGTTAAAGGATTCTACTCAATCACAATGCTGGATTTTGTCTAACAATCTGTTAATTGTAAAATTTTTCACACATCATTTATGCAGACTTTTTCTTAAGAATGCAAATATAGAAAATATAGAGAAATCAACTATCTTACTTTTCACTTTCTCCAAGCCACTTTGATACCAAATCTGGTGAAGACACTGCAAAGAAGGTAGAGTTATTGGCTTCTGCGGCTACTGCTTTGGCTAGGTAAGACTTCCCTGTCCCTGGGGGCTGTAAATAACAACAACAACAACAACCATAACTAGAGGATCAGAGAGGCGATGGGTAAAAATATTTGGAATGCACTCAGAATTTTTAGGATGTTTTTAGTGCTCTTCGAATATCCTGGAATGCACAAAGAATTGTATTTCAGACGCCATTCTTAATCATTCCACCTAGTGTGACGGGGATTTGCCAACACATTCCAAGAAAAACCAATGGGCCTTTTGTCTAGGGAATCACAGGAGTGATCAATGTTAGAAAAATAAAGGTCAATTAGAAAATCTGCTTGATTACATTGTATACCATTTTTAGTTATATATATATTTTTTTGCATATTTTGAGAACTCTTGTTGATTGCATTTTATAGAGCTTGTCAAGCACAAGACTGGTGGTGTTCATTTTTTTTTTTTTTTTTTGGGGGGGGGGGGGTCCATATGAAAGCATAAGTCTTANGATTTCCTATAGGATCCTATAGGAATTATTGTAATGGTCTGAACATAAATTTTAAAAAATAATTTCAGCTTCAATGATTCCTAATGATAAAATATTTCTCCATAAAAGATTACTTTACAAATGATCAATTTTTCAAGATTTCTTTAAAATAGAAATTAAAGAATACAGTATCTATAGAATCCTATAGATGACTATAAGATTGTGCATTATAAACAATAAAAAGCATTTTTGCTTTAACAGTGATATATAATTGACAATTCCACTGATAAAATTGACCTATATCAAATATCTTTTGTTTAGAATGATATTTGTTCATAAGATATGTATTTTTCTCAAGATTTTAACTTACAACAATTTCCTATAGGATCCTATAGGAAATCCTATAGGAAAGGTGCCCTATAGGATCCTATAAGATTTCCTATAGGATCCTATAGGATCCTATAGGAATCCTATAGGATCCTATAGGAAATTTTCGTAAGGGTAAAAGGGAACAAACATTTGCAAAGTTTAGTTCATGGTGAAAAGTAGGTCAAAGGTCAACTTTAAGGTCACAGTAAATTGCCTCTAATGACTTTCTATTCAAATTCATTAGTAACTATGGGTGTATCTTTGCCAGTTTTGGAGATAATAGGAAACCAAAATTTGCAAAGTTCAATTCATGATGAAAAGTAAGTCAAAGGTCAATTTCAAGGCCACAGTAAGATTACCAGTAGTATATGATTTCCTATTCAAATACAATAGTAACTATGGACCTATCTCTGCCAGTTTTGGAGTTAAAAGGGAAAGAAATTAGCAAAGTTCAGTTCATGGTGAAAAGTAGATCAAAGGTCAATTTCAAGGTCACAGTTAGATTGCCAGTATATGACTTCCTATTCAAGTTCAATAGTTACTATGGACATATCTCTGCCAGCTTTGGAGATAAAAGGGAAAGAAATTAGCAAAGTTCAGTTCATGGTGAAAAGTAGGTCAAAGATCAATTTCAAGGTCACAGTTAGATTGCCAGTATATGACTTCCTATTCAAGTTCAATAGTAACTATGGACCTATCTCTGCTAGTTTTGGAGATAAAAGGGAAGGAACATTTGCAAAGTTCAGTTCATGGTGAAAAGTAGGTCAAAGGTCAATTTCAAGATCACAGTTAAATTGCCAGTATGTGACTTCCTATTCAACTTTAATAGTAACTATGGACCTATCTCTGCCAGTTTTGCAGATATAAGGGACTAAATTTTACAATTTTGAAGTTACAATAATGTGCCATAAATTTTCTACAGAAAAAATTAATTAAAATAAAGAAAAGGTCATTTTGGTTGAAATTCTTGAAATGGGAGGTGCTCAGAAGTCCCAGATGTTCAAATTTCATGAAATAATGTCATTTTTGACCAGAAGTTGTCACCAAGCCTTATGTTTTATTTTCCGGAGTTCAAAATTTATTATCCATTTTGCTTTCACCATCACAATGTACTTTTTGATACAGCATAACTCAAAAACCATATGGAAAAAAAAACAGAGACCACCTTCAGTGTTGGGCTTTTCATGCTCTATAAAATGCAAAAAAGAATGGGTCTCTAGCATTAACGGTTCCTGAATTACTGTAGAGACAGTTTTCAGTTTCGGTCTCTTATGGCCGCTACTCCCGTGAAAATGCACCGATTGACCTCAAATTCACAGAGATGAAAGAATACCTGAAGGGTAACACTTTCCAACAATATTATTGGTTAAGTCTGTGTAGTTTCTGAATATCAGCGCAAATATTTTTTTTTCGTAAAAAGATTCTTTTTGAAAATTTTGGCCCGTTTGACCTTGAAATAAAGGTCAAAGGTCAAATCCAGGGGCATATTTTAAATCTCCACATATGACTTTTGGATAGCTGTCTGTAGAAATTTTTCCCAAAATTCCTTCCGTAGGGTAGATAATTAGCATTTAATTTTGCCACTTTTGGACAAGGGTGCATTGCAATGAGTGCCACACCTAGACCCCAGCACGTGGAACGAGTTGAGATTAGAGGTGACCTAAATCCAAGAGATGGGTATGGAGGCCCTTACCGTCTAGGAGGAGAAGCGGTAATGGTAACATGGCGGCGGAGCCGGCGGAACGATCCAGACGGGACTAAAACCATGTGTACAGCCAGCGCCTACGCTGGTGGTACAATAATAATTGTCATTTACGTATTACCTTATTATTTTCTCAGTTCCCAGTCAAGGCCTAATTATTTCTTGCATCTTTTTTATGACCAATGCCTATACTCAAACTATCCACAAGCCTTATACAAAAATTCACTAACATCTAAAATAATTGGTAATAAAAAGTGAGACTTAAAATTATAGACAGCTTGACTCACCCCATACAATAATATACCACTCTGTGGCTGTCTTTTCCCTGAAGTTAAATATTCAAAACCATGACTAATTGTGGATCATTATGATTCACTGTAAGGCAGTTTTTTTTTTAATTACTTGTTTCTCAACAATTTTTATTTTTGTCAGAGGTCGGAGGGGGGGAAATAAAAAATATTTTTTTAAATAATGACTTTTTGGTCACTCATTTTCAAAACTACATTAGACAATGGTAAATACTGGTTTTAACACAGTGAAGCAATTTTTGGATAAAAACAGCAATTCCTTTTCAATGTTTTATTTGTCTAAATGAATGTCAATTCTACATTCATTCTTGTAAATTACAAAACAATAAAAAACACAGTTTGCCTTTCTATGCACTCATGATGGCCGTGCACAAAACCGTTTTTTGTCAATCTTGATGCAATATTATGTATGATTTAATGATTAAGTGGAAATCATCACCAAATTTAAATTATCTAATTCATGTTACATGGCCATCCAGAAATAATATGGCTTCATGCCCATGGGAGTTCCAAGTCCCACACTGAAAATTAATTTGACACATGCAGTGTAAAATATCAGCAAAGCACTGATTGGCTTAAAAACCGGAAGCTGGGAGAAATGAACCAATTGTTTACTTTGGCTTAAATACCCTTTGTTTTGAACTTGTAGGCAGTCATGTGACACAGGAGTCCCGTGAAACTTGTGAGGTTTTGTGTTTCCGATCGAACAGTATGATCAGTTGGACGTCGGTGAAAAAATAAAAAAATATCTTGGGTTTCAATTTTATTATTATTTTTTCTATTTTGGCCATTTGAGGACGGTGGAGCTTGAGAAACAAGTTATTAAAAAAAAAACTGCCTAAACAATCAATTACTGTAACATATTATTATTATATTTTTGATTCCCCAACAACTAAAAACACTCTATGCAATAAGAAATAAAGAATATTTTAGCATTTTGGAAATAAATAATAAGTTAAAAGCTCAAACAGTATTTGATCATTATTTCAGCCATTTAGTATACAGAGGTGTTACAGTAATGCTATTGTACTTTCTTTCCACCGATAAAGAAAAAATTGTCCAAAATCACTTAATATCTTCAAATTTCTTACCTGTGAAAAGATGGGGAAACTTAATGGGCATAGTGACTGCCTCTTCCAAAGCCTTTTTGGCTCCATCCAGACCTGCTATGTCGTCCCATTTAATGTTAGGCTTCTCCATCACAATGGTCCCTTCCAGCTGTGTCTGAAACTTTTTCTTTTCATCATTTCCTTCTGAATCACTGTCACTGCTGTCATTGTCTCCTTTCCTGCAGCAGAGCATTGGTTTTAATGCATAACACAAAGAACATTTGGTTACAGAAAACCTGATTTATTTACATAAGTGACCCTTCGCTATTTTTCTTTCACAGGGATATTAAAATGGTTAATTGAATCTTTAATTTCTCAGGTCTAATGTCTTTTTTTAGGTCTTTTTTCTTAATCCTCACTGATTTGCAAGTTTTATTTATTAAAACAATTCTGTATCAATATGCTTTTTGATAACATATTTTATTACTATTACTTTTCTGCTTTTCAATATGTTTAAAAGTGTAAAATACAAGAAAAATCATTGAAAAATAAAAAAATGGAAAATGGTTTAGCTTTTTTAAATAAATAAAACAAGCAAAAAATGTAAAAAAAAAACATTTAAAAACATAAATAAATGAATGAAATTTCATTACTTTCTATTTCCACCACAACTGCTGTCCTTTACTGGTTTCTGTTTTTTGCCACTGACATGCTGTCTTAATTTCTCTGCTCTGTCTGCATATGACTTACATTTAGTTCTGATACTTTCCTTAGCTTTGTCACTGCGTGCCTCATCTGAAATTAAAATAAATCACCTCCTAGTATTGCTGGAAGTACCAAAGATTGTTAGTTTGAAAAATTTTCAACACTCGAGTTAATAAGCATATAAGTGAAAGCTTTTGCATTTAACCAAACAGTAATTTCTATAAATAGCAGGCCACACATTTTAATTAAAATATTTTAATGTGTTGCAATTTTACGAAGAAACTTGATTAAAAAAACACAAAATTTTCATCTGCATACATTTAATTGCACGGAGAAAGTACTCCACACCCTGCTCATACAACCTCAAGGCTTCCTCATAATTCTTTTTCTTGTCTTCTTCTGTAGCCTTGGTGACTATGTCAATGGCTTTCTGGAAAGAGATGTAGAATTAGTAATATACTGTAATAAAAAGCAAGAAAAAATGAAGAACAAATTCTTCATTTACAATTTAGTGCTAAATATACCAGTGCATTTGGTTTCTGGGAAGAAATGCCAAATAAGTATAAAGTTAAATCAATCAAGTGGCACAGAAATGTAAAATGTTACTAGTATTACACAATCTACACAAACAGGAAACTGAAACTTTTTAATGACAAAGATTGTGTTCACATGAAAAATGTATTTTCTAAAAATCTATTTGCGGTATCTTGTGATCACGGTCTGTGCCCTGAATACCCCACGGCCTACCCAATTACGGGCAGCACAAGCCAGTTACTTCCAAAGCTGTATTAATTCTCGGCGCTACCAGTAATTACGCCATGGGGTATTCAGGCACAGACTGTCATCACAAGATACCAGAAATAGATTTTTATATTTTTAGAAAATAGATTTTTCATGTGAACGCAGCCTTACTCATGTGGGTGGTCGACACACCATCATCATCATCAGAAGCATTAAATGTCTACTAAAAATTTTGTTTTGTAAATGTCAGCAAAACATTCCTCAAAAAGTAGCAGTATCAGTTTTGGCTGAATAAAGCAGTGATCGAGGTAAAGGAAAACTGGAATTTGTGATCCAACTATCACTGTTACACCAGTATTTTTACTGTTGAGTCTTGTTACCAAGCACTCCAAAACAAAAGTAGAATGTTAATCTTTATATCATTCTAATAAAGGTTTGCTGCTGTCAATGACATTCTACATTGAAGAAGACTATATCTTGGATGGATATTAGGATCATACTCATCTGGTGATGCACATGACTCATATCTTTCAAAACAAATACCTCTAAAAATAGTGTATTTTTCTTGCAGGGGTAGATCAGCATAACAGCAAATATGACACCCCATCAACCAATAGGTGTCTAGCTTACCTGTAAGATGTATTTTGACTCTTTCAAAGCCTCTTTGGCTCCATCCAGACCTACTACACCATCCCTTTTAAAGTTAGTCTGCCCCATCCCAGTGGCCCCTTCTAGCTGTGTCTGCAACTTTTTCTTTTCAACATTTCCTTCTGGATCACTTTCACTGCTGTCACTGTGTCCTTCCCTGCAGCAGAGCACTAGCTTTAATGTACATGTATAATAAATTACCTTGCATGGTCATCTAGATCAATCAAAATGAGGAGTGATAAGATTTCCCAATTACCCACCATCTGTTGGATGGGGGCTATAATGAAGAATCAATTATCCTTATCAAAAAGTGAATATTTTAAAACAATTACAATAGGATGGATGACACTCCTTTGTATGAGACTGAAAGAAATCCCTGTCATAAGCTGAGGCCAGCACAGGAAATTCCAATGCCAGAATCTCCAAAAAGTGTTTTTCCTATCTTTGAGAAGAACATTTCCAACAGATTTATGTTGGATAATAATACATATTTGGGGAAATACATGTCTGTTAAGTGCAAGGATAAAAATTTATGATACCGGTATATGAAAGTGAAAGAGTTCAATCAAAACTTAACACAGAGTGTTAATGATACAGTGTTGCATCTGGGCTGCGCCATTCCCGCATTAAAAACAGTGTTGTCCCTCATTTTGAGGCACGCCGCGCCACTAATGGCACAAAGGTAGAATAAATGTCCCTTTAAATCATATCTAAAGCGTCCATCTAAGTAACATTTCTTTCCTGCTTGTCAATTATTCAATGTATACAGGAGAACATGAACGTTCCAAAAGAAACCATATTGTTTACGCTGTGTAGTTAGGGGTTCTAACACGTCAGCACATGTACATCCGGCCCAGCTAACCAGACTTGAGTGGTTTGTGCGCAGAGCATACCATCACAGTGGCAATGAAGTATCTTACGGCACCCTGTGCCAAAAATTTTTTTAGACTACTAGCCCTTCAGGCAAACAGACTCTAAAATTTTATTAGCCTGAACCAAAAAAACACGAGCCCAATTTAAATAATTCATTTAAACAGTTTAAGCAGATGTTTTAAGGAGTATCAAACTTATCAGGTGAATAACAAAGTCAGTCAGGTTGATTTCCAGTTGATGGGGTGATAAAATTAAATAAAAATATATTTAATTTTTTTTGATATTGATAAAATCTATTTTCATTTGTAATACTGATTATATAGTTTTTATAATTATTTTTATAGTTATATAGTTATTTTTTATATTTTCATAATACCTTTTAAACATTTTTCATATGCAATCAAAATAAATAAAATAAAATAAATTCCTATACTCTTTATTGACAATGGCTCTTTTCTGACAATTTATTTCCAAACAACATTAGTATTTATCGCCACTTGTAACTTAAAGGGATAATAACTCTTCGTATGAGGTCTATATTTCACAATAAAAACATTGTGAATAACTCACAGAAATATAATATATTCTGTTTTACGACAAAAACAGCAGTTATAGCTATTATTCTGATATCTGAGCTTGTCTTCAGACCACGTGACCTCCATTGATGGCTATACTCTGTTAAAATCTCTTAAGAGATTTTAACAAAAAACCAAACTTTTTAGAAAAAAACCAGGGACTAACTTTGAATGTAAAAATGGATTCATTAACCATTGGTAAGCATGGGAAAATTCTTGTTTACTCCAGAAAAATTCATTTTTTGGCCAAAACGAAGAGTTATTATCCCTTTAAATTACATAGGTGTTGTGAGAGTCATTTAACAAACCATCTTACAATTTTTTTGGTTATACATTTACAAAACATTCTAATTAACTACCAGGACAAAGTGTCAAGGGGTAGCTATGGCATATCCCGAACTATGTCACATTGTCAAGAATAGCTCAAAGGGTATTTAGTAATATGTAACTGCCTGGGTCTTGTTGTTTTTAAAAGGCATAAGCCAAGGAAAATGTCTTTACTCATGAATGTTAAAAAATATAAATAAAAAACATTAACAAAACAAAAAAGGAAAAAAATACTCCACCCCTCAGTCTGCTAGGTGGTCCTAACTCAAATGTTCTATGAGATAACACATACATTACACTTGCTTCAAAGACAGTGTGTTGTTTTGACAAAGAACCTGTTGCTACTAAGGAGTTTCGGTCTGTCCCAGTTTCTTGATTGACAGCCATTTGTAGTCGTGACAACATACTGGTCACATCAAAAGATGCCACATGCTGAACAGACAGACTGCTGCTATTAATTTAATTTATAGCAACTTATAAATATTCAGTAGTAAGAGCTACAGTGTGAGATTTTTTAACAGGTACAAAGAAGATTGGCAAGTTATATTTTGACATCTTACTGAGTGTTCAAATATGTTCAAAATTACAACTAACCCATTTGGGCTAGTGCTTCATAAAATTTCAACTTTTTTACTTGCCTGATGCCACTTCAGGTGGGCAATTGCTTAATATCGCATTTGATTCTTTTGGTCTCTATTTTTATGTTAAGTTGCCTGACAGCCATAGCAAAATGTCAGATGAGAATTATTAATTTTTTCAAAAGCACAAGAAACAGTGAAGACGAAGCTGCAACAATTTCAACTTTGCCTCAGGTGGAGATACAGGGTTGCCTGCCAAGATGGCAAAACAAGAGCCACATGGTTTTACAAAGAGTGGCTGCTTAAATTGTGGACAATGAAATTCTAAGTAAAATTTTCAACAGAGGATAACACAAAGCTATACCAAAACTGCAAGCATATATGCTTACCATCTACTTGTTTTCATTTTTTTTTAATTTGCAAGGCACTTAATGTCACATTTTTTTACATTTCTACTTATTTGCTTAAATTATTATCATTCATTCAAGTGTGTATAGTTTTAGTTGTACTTCCCTCAGCTTTTTCAAAATTTGCCTAAAGTTATACCTACATGTACTACATTTCCCCAATAAAATACCTAGAGGCATTGATCAGTTTTAACGCCAGAAAGCGTCAGTTTACATATGCATGAGCGACAATAGGAATATGAAAGTGTGGTGTGGCAGTGCATACTACAGGGTAGTAGATGCAGGTTTTAAGTGTGAACCCCTATAGGACCAGTCTTTCTACGCTCCTGACTCCCCATACCACAATTTGCAACTGCATACATAACTACGAACAAATGTCGTAGGATCTACCTACGAAAGGTAATTTTGTTATCTGCGTAAGTGAATACGTCAAATTACAATTCAACGCTTGGATGAACCTACCGTGGACAGGCCTTCGTTATTCAGCTATTGGCCTAGCTTCTACATGTATTATTGTATTGATTTTACTTTGCTAGTGTTGATATGGCCAATCGCAGTGGAGGTGAACAACTATAAGACATGAATATTTCTCTCCAGGGAGATAGATCAATCCAAATATCTGTGGGAATGGTCCCTATGATAGTATAAGTTGACAGCTATGGTTCGTAAATTTTGTACTGAAAGACCGGCGGTTGCACAAATTTCAGAACAAGTACCAGTACTCTAACGAGACACAAGGCATCCAGTAAGCATTGACGTGTTATGTCGGTGCAAAGCAGGCCAACTATATGGAAGTTGCTCTAAGTAAATCTTTAAGTGAAGCTGAAGAGGCGATCCTGAAGTTAATGAGGGTTATGTACTTCAGTGCGAAAAATTTGATTACAATGTACAGTCCCTTGCTGGAATTGATGGAACTAAATAAACAAGACTGTAAATAAAATATACAAAGATAATGGTGTCATGGCCACAAATCAGAATATTATGCAAGAAAGAAAAAATCACATGCAAATCTTTTTACAAACAAGGCAGCAAAGCTGTCAAAAGTACAGACAAAAAGCAAAAAACAAAGATGCAGAAAATGGGTCATTTTGTCAATTTTGATACAATAACAATTCTAGAAGATCAGAAAGACGATACTGCCTCCTGGTATTGTACTGCCAGCTGGAGTAAGCACATTCATATGGAAACCACAAAAAAAGGGACATCACCTCCAATGTTGTGTTTGGCAAACTCTTCAAAATGCAGTAAACAAGAGTTCATAATTTTTTGTTGAAAATTACAATTCATAACTAAACCATGGGGATAAGTAAAAGGTAAAATTCAAATTTGTGAAGTGCAGTTCATGGTGAAAAGAAGGCCAAATGTCAATTTTAAGGTCATAGTTAGATTGTCAGGATATGAGTTCCAATATTCAAGTTCAATAGTAACTATGGGCATACATGTATCTCTGCCAGTTTTGGAGATATAAGGGATGGAAATGTTGCAAAGTTGAGTTCATGGAGAAAAGTAGGTCAAAGGTCAATTTCAAGGTCAGAGATAGATTGCCAGTATAATTGTTCCTATACAAGTTCAATAGTAACTTGGGGCATATCTCTGACAGTATTGGAGATATTGGGCTGGAAAAGCTGCAAAGTTCAGTTCATGGTTAAAAGTAGGCCAAAGGTCAATTTCAAGGTCACAGGTAGACTGCCAGTATATGACTTCCTATTCAAGTTCAATAGTAAGTAGGGGCATAAGAACTTCAAGCCAAAGGAAGTTTAAAGCCACACCTTGAAATTGTCGATATGTGAAATTCTTTTTTTCTCATAAAAAAAACATATAATTTCCAGAAAAGTTTACAGATAAAACAGGTTTTCCAACTGAAGATATACATGTATTTTAGTCCTATGCTACTTTTCTGTAAGTGAAATGGTTTTCCTCTAATGGTCACTATTGAGGCAGTGCCAAAAATAGGGTTGTCTTCAATTTTGATGCAAGATTACATAATGCTTAACAGCAAAAAGACCATCAATTTTTAATAAAAAAATAAAATAATAAAATACAGAAAATGCACAGAGCTTCTGGTGGATGGGGGTTAAAAGTGGCATCTTGAAGATGCTAGTGTTTGAAAGATAATTTAAAATTTTTTAAATAAAACATAACAAAAAATTCCAATAAAGCTGCTATTCAAACTTTTAATCTAACTGTATAACTATTAACATGATATGAATAACCCTATTGAAATTGAGAATAATAAGGCACTGTTATTCATCTTTACCATTAATGTTAGCATTACACAAAGTTTTTTTTTTGTAAATGTATTGGCAATATTAAACAACATTTACCTGCTTAATTATCACCAATTCCTAATTATGTGACACAGTTAAGAGAGCTAAACCTATAGGACTTTATAATGAA